TAGTTTGGAAAAGAAATTTTGACACTTCATAAAAACTAATTTAAAGAATAAGGCAATTTCATTTAAAAATATTTGTGGTATTGACAGCAATGACTAGTGCATGTTTTTAAAAATACTTTTGTTGTCAAAAAAAACGGATTTTAATAGTGAAAGGCATTATTTGTTGAAACAAAAAGGTTTAGTTATCGAATTTCTTCCTGTTCGATGGGTTGTTTTATTGCTTCGCTGACTATTTTAAAATCCAATCTAAAAAGGAAGCATTTTCCGTTGAAGATATGCAAATTATCCGAAAGTGCAATCTCTTTGTAAAGTCGTGCAAACGATTCAAAGTTTTAGAGTAAACTACAAAATAATTCATAACATCACATGAGCAGCTGACATGAGGAATCTTGTTGATTTGAAATCAAAATACTTATAAATCTGATCAAATCAATCTTTGCATGCCGTCCATCCAATATCTGTTAATCACGATGAGAAAGTCTTTCAAAAAAAAATTGCTGACTTCGTGAAATTGTAGAATTAATCAATTATTTTGCTATTGATAAGAAAGTAAATATGTCGCGCATACGACACATCAAATCAAAAAATCAATGGATGACAAAATGCATTTAGATGGAAAATCCAACGCTCAAAGTAGCTGGAGAGAGATATTTTATACTAGCAATCATTTTATTTAGATATGATATGCAAAATTCTCTTTAACTGTTCTTTGGTCCCCAGTTCTCTTACTTAACAAATTTTTTATCACTGTGAATATTCGTTCAAGCCAATATCCGGCCAACCAAGCACGCATTTGTGTCCAATATTATCAATGTCGCTTCTCGCGTATTCATCACCTAGAAAAGCACATAACAAAAACAATATTTTTTCCCATGTCACTACAGTGACCTCACGAATACTTGTTATCGCATTCTTATCTTTCATTATGATTCACTTCTACTTATCAATATTATTCAAAAGTTTGTTGTGATAACAGCTATTTAACACTTTATTGAGCTAACTAATGCTATGTTAACGTCTGTAACACCATCAATTTTTAATATTAAAAAATTTACATTATAGCGTTCTCTATAAAAATCTGACAGATGGATTTTGTAATTTTTTTTACGGAGTACCGAATTTCAGATTCCGATGATTTTTCGATTGTTTATTGTGATAATAGATATGCATTTTGTGGCTAGACAAAATTTAATTGCACAAAAACTTTTGACTTACTCATAGCGGTCAGTTCAGATTGGATTTCGTTTTCACCACTTTGATTTAACATCAGATGATGTGCCAATAGCAAGTAAAATCTTACGACAAAATGGGTCTTTAAAAACATCAAGACTTACATTTACACTTTCAAACTGATAAAAGATTCCGTGAGAAGATTGAGGAACGTCTAGCAATTTTTAGAATGCATAATTTATCCACCACAATCCGTATTTTGCTCTTCTAAGAAAAAATGAAAGTGACTTTCAGAATGAATGATGCGAGGGAAAAACATGCCATCATTTCATCACAATGCTTCATAAAAAAAAATTCAAATAATGAGAAAAACGGAGGAAGTGCTGCAAATGCTCAAGAATCTCCTTCACTGGGTCTAACAAACAAAAATAAATACAATATTGCACATTTCTTGTAATTTGTTGAAAGATCCTTATTTAAAGTCTATCATTACAACTGTTCGAAATTGTCGCTAAAAATTCGTAAGTCTTGAGAGTAATTTTTGATATTTACAAAGCATTTGGTATAAAATAAATAATTATTTTTCAAAAATAAAGATTGAACATTTGTTAAACAAAGTAAAGCGGTAGTTGACAATAATATAAGTAGAAGGCAGGTAAAGCGTGAGGAAGAGGGGAGGGATTCAGATGATGCAACTGTGACTGCGGCATTCCCAAAAGCACATGAGACCGAGAATGCGTCACGATGCTCAGGCTTAGAAAAAACCGGCAACACGACCTCACCTCATTTCCATAAATCTGTTACATCGCCGAACACTGATTGCGCAAAAGCGCATCTGCTTAGGTAATATTATATAGATTGGCCCACTTTCTGCCCTGCTCTTAATTAACCCACCTTCCCATATCTCTAATTTTACTATTCTGTTGGTTTTTCAACTCATTTTAGGAAAAATTACAGTCGCTAGCTCCACAATTGTCATCACGTCTCTCTTCGCGTAATGGTATGACGACGCAGCTATCTTTCAAAAAAGTCCATGCTTTCAATCTTTGAAAAGCTTTCAACAGCCACTCCTTAGATTGCCAGTAATTTAAGAAAAACGATCTGCCCCTATCTAATTTAAAATACAGAATTTTATTCCATTTCATACACAGCCTTCTTATAGGTTATAGCAAAATCATTTTAGGAAAACAATTAATTGTTTAAAGCTTACCAGACTTTCTTTCCAGATCAAAAAAACAATTGAAAAAGAATCTTTTTTCCACACCTGAAGAAAGCTGTGAAGAATTTTCTATTGTAGCTGTACTGTAAGTTTTTCCTTTCTCTTTAAGAAATATAACATTCTATTGTTCCTTACCTAACTTTGTGAAGTCAACGAGATCTCTTTTTGATGCCCCTTTTCCTCTTTAAATTTGAAAGCCTATTTGTTTTCTCATTTTTCCATATCCGTTAAACAATATCTGTTCTCATAAAGTTCATACTTCGCATAGTTTACTATGTGTTACATAAAACGTAAATGTTGTAATGAGTCATTCAAAAGGGATCCCATTTCTCCATTATTTGCACTACAAACATAAGTTTCAGAGCTTATTTCATTCACGTATTCATTGCATTTGTATTAAGTACTGAATATCTGAAATCTATTCATCGTTACATAAATATTTATTGTTGAATAAACTAAGGATCGATTTTTATATTAACTGTAAGTTCATCACCAAAAACACTCCACGAATTATGAGCTTATGCGGATGATAGGGGAAAAAAATCTTAGCTTGTTATGGATGCTGAAATAAGAGAAGGACCAAACTGTTACGAGAATCAACTACGAGCCATGTCGATGTGTTGGTCTGGATTTGATCCAATGGGTTCATACGGCGCCACATCCAATTATTCACATCAATCCGGTACATGTCCAACGTTACCAATGGCAATTGCCACGCAAAACGACCAGCAGGTGATTTGAATCTTTTTGATAAGTATTATTTCACAACTCAAAGAAATCTTTTGTTTAATGATTGACGAAGTGCTCTTTTTTGTCAAACCTGTTACTTTAAAAGTTTATTGCTTTTAGATAGTACATCAATTTCACCCATGCAATTTTGTCTCCTTTGCGCAACATTTCTCAACATTGTCGTTTAACAACAGTAATACACCTTCAACCTCATCCTTATCATCGCCTTCAGTATCAACCAAAAAGAAACCCGTTCCCGTTCCTGAGAACCTGAAAGACGAGGTAGGTACATTTCATAAAAAGAACTGTTTTAACATTAGCTTCATGAGCTTGCCTAAAACTTTTTCTTACGGCTACTTTTGCGTCCTACAGGACCCCCATATCGGATGTCGCTGCAGGTATCTGTCAAAAACAAATGACAAAATTTAAGAGACTCATTATTACCGCATAAAATTAGAATGTCTTAACTGGAATTCCACTTCTATTTCGTCCACAAATTTTAGGCATATCGTGAACGTAGGATGAAGAACAATGAATCAGCCAGAAAATCCCGAGAACTGAGGCGTCAAAAAGAAGAATCAACGCAATTAAGATGTGACCAGCTTCTGCATGAGAATCATCTTCTGCGAGCCGAACTGTCCTTATTACGGAGCCAAATGGAACAATTCCGACAAATCTTTTCTATTTCTTCCAACAATTCACAACAAAACTTCGCCCCCAACAGTTCTGCTCCTGGTTTGTAAATTTTTACATCACATGTGACGAAGTACAATTTCTCAATGCTGCTGCACATCCACTGCTCTGATTTATCCAGAGAATCTCAAAATTTCAAAGAAATCTGATTAATATCTATTACACTTGGTAATATATTTATCAGTGGAATAAATTGAGTAACTCTCAATCCAAACAAAAAATGCAATGTAACTGAAATTATTTGCTTCAATTCATGGAACCAGCAGATCAAGACATCAAATAAAGCGTAAAAATAAGTACATAGAAATAAAACTTCACATACGCTTCGAAGTGATACAGAATTTCCTTCTGTCAATTCTCTTTTCTGACGCATACTTTCAAAATACATTTATAATCTACCATCTTCGTTTCATAGAACAACCCGCAAAAATCACAAACCTCAATATAACGAAAAGAAATTCGGAAGAAACACAATTTATATCCTTGAAAATCAGAATCCCATCTATTCAATAAAAAGCTAAAGCAATTTATAGCAATCGATTAAACATGATCATGCAAATCGATGGTAACACATAGGCGATACACCTGATGGAATATAAACTGCAAGTGAATAACAAAATAATGCACTAAAATGCCGGATGAAAAAGTAGACTGTTCCTTGGATTTACAAATATAGACAAAAATATTATTAAGTTAAATAAGTTAAAAGACTGAGCCAAAATTTTGGAAGCAAACACATATACTGAAAAATATCAATCAGATGAAGAGAGTTTTAAGGCTTGACATGATATTAACGTGATGTCGTAACAACAAATAACATGAATCCAAGAAAAAAGGGGATGTTACTGCACTGAAGAATTATTTTTGTTCAGCTTCTTAATTTCAAGTTCAAGATCGCATAAGTTTCGTTCCAATATTTCAACTTCTTCCAATCGACTATCCTCTACAGCTTGTTTCAAATACCTGAAAACTGATGCATTGCTAATTCCATTTCAAAAAAAAGTGAGAAAAATCTTTCCCTTGCAAGAGCAAATTCTAAAAGACACTCTGTGAAGTTTTCCATCCATATGAAACTAACCCCTTGATAATCAAGACTTGTTCCTGCAATGGATCAGCTTTGTCTTCCTCTTCAATAAATGGATTAGTGTGAAGAAACATCCTAGATGGAGTCCAACCATAATCTTCACAACCATTAACGATACCAGAAAAAGAAACAGATTCCTTCAAGCGACTCTTAGAATTTTGCCAAACCATTTCTGTTTCGTTTAAATTTGAGCCAAATCCAGGATTTGAAGTTGACGGCTGCAAAGCAATGAAGAGCTTTATAATAAAATTTAATAGTAAATGACGTTATAACCAAAAAACGTTTTAAGGACGAAACCATGAAAATCCAATAAAAGCATTATAAACCTTCAAAATGAATGCATTCCTTTTTCGTTCCATCTCTATTCGATGCTTGATATCGGCGCGTCTTTTTTCTTGCAATTCATTGTAGCGATCTTCACTTGGATGAAGATTCATTTGTGTTACTAATTGCTAAACAATAATTTTAAATAGGAAATTACTGTATGATGAAGAAGACATAATTCAATCATGAGGAGTAAAATAATAATGACTGGACATGACAAATTAACACTAAAGTTCTAGAAAAATTAACAAAAGTGAAATTGAACCTGTAACATTTGCAGAGAAAAATCTCGAATATTTTTCCGGATAACTTGCTCCCGTGGTGTACAACGTTTCGAGATATTCCCTTCAATGATATGATGTGTCGCAACACGAGAACTAAATTAAAGCAAAATGTTTAAGCATTCATTTTTAGTTAATGACTTTAAAATGCAATGAGTTGATTAAATTCACAAGCGTATTCTGCTAACCTTACAGAATCAATTTCTTTTTGCAGTTGTATCAGTCGATTTCTCAATTCAATAGCAGAATCCAAAGTATACATGGTCTCTCCTCGGCTGAAACCTTGATGGAACTTGAAAAGTTTATTAAATAATGAATTTTGGAAATCATTCAATAAATAACTCTGATTAGTTACTCATTCGAAGAAAGAAGTACTAAAATATTATAAAAATAATAACAACTGGGCAAAAGCATGAAATTATCATACACCCACCTTAGCGATTCTGAAATACGTGCATATGAGGAAGCTAACTTTTGAGCGTCACGAAAAAGGGAACAGAGGCGTTCATACAGTACCACAAGCATTGGTGGCGAGGTAAGCATTTCCATTTTTTCATTGCGAATATCCAGCAAAATTTTACATTCAGAACAAATTCTCAGGTGCTCATTTTCATCCTAGAATAGAGAACACATGATTGAATCGTTATAATGTCGCCAGCAGCAAAGCCTTGTAAGACGACATATTCCAAACTTAGATAATCTTACAAAAAACGTGACATAACAGTAGTAGGTTATTGGTAGTAAAATTCATCATGACTTAAAGGCTAAAACAACCTGTTGAAGCAACGACGCTAAACTGACTTCAGTGCCATCCCGCTTCACCAACGATAACGTTGAGGAAAATAATTTTTCGCTTTTTAATCGCACTGACTGCAACGATTCACTTGATACGGCTTGTTTAATAACTTCAACAACCGACGTCGACCGTGACAAACCACTTGATGGCTCTTCCGGAATATTCATTTCTGAGTTATTTATTTCTTCCAACAACTGTGCAGCAAATGCTGGATTCGTTAATTTGCCTGAAAATATGCAAAAGCTATGCTGAGAAATATCAATTCCAAAATCTAAACACATGTACTGTGCTACATATTAGAAGATAATAGTTATATATACGATACCACTTAATTTAGCCTAAAATTGACTAAACGATCGAAACAGATAAAGAAGAAAGTACAACTATTAGCATCAACAACATTACAGTTACGTAAATTATTTCCGCAGTAGTGAATGTTTGAAAAACGTACGAGCATCGACGAAAGAAAGAAATTTTGAGCATGAGTGACATATAATTTCGCCACATAGTCGGCAGTGATGCCTTCGCCTAGTCAATGAAAATTTTACGGTACACGTTCGGCATTTCACAACATCACGATCCGTTACCCAAGGTACTGTTTCACGTTCAAAAGCTGCAAACACTTTCTATTTTAATAGCAAGAATTATTTTGAAATTGAAAGGTGTAGAACTGGTTTCATTTGCTGCAATAGATAACGTTACTTTCAATGGATATTAAGTAGGTTAAGACAATATCTTAAATTCTAAGAATGTGCCAACCTTTGCGCTTACTTGAATCAGAAGGACACTGGTTAATTAATTTATCAAGTCTAATAATCAAACTATTTGTTTTTACAGCAGCATCGTTTATACAAGGAGATCGACACTTCAAATAAAAATCCGTATGACTTCTCGTGATTCCTGAAAAGGGAAACTATAAAAACAACATTAAATTTGCAGAATTTTGAATCCTCAGTTATAAAAAATGTGCTCTATCACAGCTTACCAGGTCATCTTTAACTACTGTTCCTCATTGAACATGGCATTCCATGTTTTATATCTTTAAAACAAAATATAAATACATGTTTACGTTGATCAGACTTACCAAGATCCTGTAAAAAAGTACAGATCTGTGCTGAATGAGGATTTTCGGCGCGATCATTGGCCGTGTTGCAAACACTTCTTGAAACTGTCGATACTCCTCCATTATTCGAGTTTGTATCACCAATTAAAAAGGATGCATCTATATGAGAAATCTTTTGTTTCGCTTTATCGAAGATACCTGAAAAAACCGTCTCGTTTCATCCTTTGTATATCGTTTTGGTCTTTTTCTACAAGCATTCATGCATATTTCTTCTAATTTGTAGTAACAAAAAAAGATCAGGAAAATTCAACGACAGGTAAGTAAGGGAGCTAAACGTAAGTTACCTTTAATATGATCAAAGGGATAGTCAGCGGGTACTGATTTTGGATGGTACTTTCCAACATGAGCATGTAAAGCGGTTAAATCACCTAAATCTTGCATACAAAATGGGCACAGAAATCCTTGTCTGAATGCACCGCCTAAGTCATCCGTGTCATCATTATCCATATCCATGACAAGAATCGGATACTCCTCGCATATCGCGATCAACACTTCTTCCTGGAGATTAGCATAATTGTAAATTTTCCTAAAAAATCTGACAATATTCAGGATTAAATGTGACCACCGGAAAGACTCCATAATAAAACTCACTATGTATAAAAGGTGACTGTTTTTATGAAGAACACGAGACTAATCCATTTGTGTCTTACCAATCGTTCTCACTGAATCCCAGCAATTCTTCTGAAAAAAGACTGCCCATGGCAGAGTGTGTAAAAGGGAGAAAGTAGAAATGAACTAGTTGATATAAAAATCCCTGTCTTCCAATCGGACGCTAATTTTTAAGTTAGGTTATGGCAAGTTTCTCCAAAAATGGCTGTCACAAAATAGAATCAGTTACATTTACATTTCATACCCGCTCACATCAGTTCCCACAACTTTAAATGAAGATTTCCCTCTTCGATCACAAGGTCTAAATTTAAAGTAGCCCTTTTATTTCTATCTCAATTAATGGTGCCAGCTGGGTAATATAGCAAAAAGCGGCTGCGGCCAGCGTTTAAATTTAAAAATGAAAGGATTGTCTCGTTCTAATAGAATGTAACTAAATATTGGGGTTGGTTAGTTTAGCAAGTTGGTATGGTGGTTATTTCCTAACTTAAGAGGAAGAATGTATGTCTCGCATAGATCAAGTGGACGTTGAACCTACGGACTTTGTAGATTTGCATTGAAAGATTTGTATGTTGCAACACTAAGATATGCTTTATGGCTTTTATAATAATGAATAAGTGTCGGAAATTTCTTTCAATTAACTTGTCAACAAGGAAAATGTGTGCCGATATTGCTTGTAATACCTTTTTAGTCACTGTTTTCATCGCATTTATTTTATTTTCAAACGTTAAAGTGAAGCGATAATTTTGCTGGATCCAATGTTTGCAAGTAATTCTCTCGACAAATTGCTGTATTTCGAGAGTAATTGGACGCAGTAATTTAAACGCACAATTGACATTTCAGTTGCTCTGTTACATGTTAATCCACTGCTGAAGCTTTATTATGAGAGCACAATACGCACGTCAAAAAAAACAAGGCTCAGGATATCACGTACATACTCTTCAGTATACGCCAAAAGATCGATTTGTGAAATTAATGATTATGATTATCTGTTAGCCTTTTGCAGGATACAGTGGCGTTTACTGTTTCCTAGCGCGATGATAAAATCGTAACTCTATGTTTCATGCT